ATATATACTGCATTGAAACAGATAAGGGACAAAACTGTTTAAAAGGGATATGTGATTAGGTATTTTTGTCATGACAGGTGTCTAAAGCAAAGGCTGCATGGTGGAGTGGACCTGGGGGGAGGGATTGTAAAACAATGAAAGAATTTTTCTTTTACTTTTCCAAGAGGGTAGTGTACTAGGGGGCAGGGTTGGGAGGGGAGAAAAATGCAACAATGAATGAATGGAAATCCAAAGTCTCTGCAAATTTTCATTGATATTAATAATAAATTTTTTTTAAAAAAGGACTAGAGTCCATGCAGTCCTCTAGTCTATAACTCCTGGTCTATAACTTCCACTGCCCAGCCTTCCCCATCTGGTCTGGACTTCCCCCTCTTGTTCCCACGATACCTGGGTTGTCTCTCTGGCAACTCCATTTTCAACTCGTCTGGGGAAATGTTCTGAGGCAAAAAAGAAGAGAGAAGAGAGAAAAAAATGGCTGCCATTAATTTTGTGTTTTCTATGTACCGAGATACTGTCTGAAGAAAGGCATGCAGACAAACTCACTGAACTTTGTTATAATCCTATTATTCCATCTGTTTACAAATGATGACACTGAGGCCCAGTAGTTTTAAGGAACTACAGAGATAACAAGCAGTAAAACTCAGATGTGAACCTGGGTGCAAATGGCAACCATTTCACTGCACTTCTCAGAGTATCAGCTCCCATTCAACCTCCAACTCCTCTCAAAATCGCACCAGCCTCTATGAACCCAAAAAATATTTAATGCTATGGTAAACATCTTTTGAAAAACTGGAGGCAGGGAAAGTGATTAACGCAACAGTAAGAAGGAAGACTGTTGTCTTCCCCCCACCTACTAAGGATAAAGATCTTGAGGCCAAGAGAGAACTGGGTCCACCCTTTGATAAAGGATTTCCTGTAGCTTTTGTTAGCTTATCTGAGAGCTCATCTAAGTGCCAATATTATTATTGTTGGTATCACTTTTTAGGGAGCTCTCGTGGCCTAGTGTGTAAGGAGATTCATTGCCAACCGAAAAGCACACAGTTCAAATCCACTAGCTGCTCCATGGAAGAAAGATGGCCAGTCACCTCTCATGCGATTTACAGTCTCTGAAAACCTGTTGGAAGGTCAGCTATGAATTGATTTCCACTCAACAGCCATAACAGCAACAATAACATTTTATTGAGCACATACAATGTATTGGGAACTCTGGTGACCTAGTGGTAAGAAGCTGTGCTGTAATCCCAAAAGCATATGATTCAAATCTACCAGCTACTATGTGGGAGAAAGATGAGTAATCTCCTCTCGTGCAATTTACTGCCTCTGAAAATCCACTTGAGGATCAGCTATGGGTCAGTTCCAACACAACAGCATAGAACTGACAGCATAAAGCACAATGTATCAGACTACTAGCAGAAAGGCTGGCAACTCAAATCCACTATCCACTCCATGGAAGAAAGGTGGGTAGTCTACTCCTATGAAGTATGACAGCAACAGGCACTCAGTGAAGGGTGTGTGTGTGTGTGTGTGTGTGTGTGTGTGTGTGTGTGAATAGAGCAGAATGAAAATGAAGTCTTAACCCATTTTAAAGTCTGGGATCCATGTTGGGTTTTAAAAGCTGCCTTCCTAAAAGACAGTCCCTTTCACCTGATTTGAATCACGGACCCCAAGAACAATGGACCTCTGGTGGTCTAGTGACAAGAAGCTGCACTGCAATCCCAAAAGCACACAGTTTAAGGCCACCAGTCACTCCACGAAAGACGATGGGCAATGTCCTTCTGTGAGATTAACTGCCTCTGAAAACTGTGGGAGGATCAGCTATGGGTTGGTTCCAACTCCATGGTACACAACAACAACAACCCCAAGGACAACATTCCTTTTCTCTAAGGTCTGCAAGATTTCCTAATCTGTTCCAAAAAGGCCCTTTTCATTACAAGCAGATACAAGATGTGACAGAGTGCGCCTGAAGGGTCTTGACACATAGCATTATTGAGAGAGAGACCTTTACACGTGGCCTCCAGAAACAGATGTGACTGAGGAAGCAATTTTGCTGGTAGATTATCAGAGATATCAGTCTTCTCCCCATCCTAGAGCCCCTCACCATAAACTGAACAATCATGCAACCCTACTTGTATATACTTATTCTCATTTCTAAATATCCAATTTAACTCCCCCAAGGGTGGGGCAGTCTGTAGGGAGTTGCACTGCTAACCAACCCAAAGGCAGTGCCTCAGGAGAAAGATGGCCAATCTCTTTCCATGTGATTAAAAGCCACTGGAAAGTGTAGTCAGTTCCAATTCACCAGCAATAAGTGAGAGTGAAATCATATTCCAGACAATTATGAGTTTTGTAACCTTTCGTTTCTGCTCCAACAGGACATTAATGTATCCTTTCCCCCCCTCTTTTTTTTTTTTTTTGTCCAGTAGAGTGGCCTTTCTCATTCTGTGACCATAAACCAGACCATCTTTATACTTCAGTAAACTTCATTTATTTTTGTTTAAGCTGACTCTGAAGTTGTTCAACAACACTCCACCCCATTAAAACGATTAAACCCTCAAGGGAAACAGAGGCCCAGGCAGGCAGTCTGTTACCTAGGTCATAGTTGGGCATCAACTTGACTTCCAGGTCTTTCTGGCCCCAAATGTCAGGAAATTTGCATCTATTCCTGCCTCTTAGGTCTCCACTTGGGGCTCCCCTTACCCCAGAGCCTTACCTGGAATTCTTCCTCCAGCACCACCATTTGCCGGTCCTTGTCCACTTTCACTGAGTGCGGGATGGTACACAAAGGTTAGATTCCCCAGCCCTCCCACCTTGTCACCACCACCCTCCAAACAGGCAGTGCAGGAGCAGACCACTCACTTATTATGGCGGCGTTGTCTGTCTCTTTTCGGAAGCGGAATTTCTTCAGCTTCTCCTTAAGCTCGGGGTCCACCTCACACACCACCAGGGAGTCAGACTGCCAGAGTGACCCAGCAAGGGCTGAGCTGGTCCCTGCCTCCACCCTCCAACCTCAGTGTCCCCATCAGCTAATAAATAGGAGAAAGGCCTTGCCAACCTGTACTTTGCATCTTCGTGCAACGTAGGGGGGGAACCCCTTTTCCCTGGAGCACATGCTGCTTCTGACCAGGGTGCACACCTCAAGAAGCAGCGAGGGGACTAGATCCCAAACCCACTGGCACCTTTGGGCGATCTGCCTGCCTGGGTATAAACCCGGAACCACCATCTCTCTCCCGCAGTCCAAGCCCTTTGCCATAGTTGACGCCCTTACTTAGCCCTTCACTTCCAATCCCATAGCCTGGCCTACACCCAGGGCCCTCCTGGCCCCCATGCCAACCCCTTCCCATAAGATCCTTGGCTCACTGACCATGGCTTCTCAGTCGCCTGGCCTCTTCTTTTCTCAGTTCCGCTATCTTTTCCGGGCTAGAGACGTGGGCTTCAGCGGGGCGGGGTGTAGAGTAAGGGGGAAGGTTTCATCCGACACCACATCCTGTTTATACCAGTTCAGGGACAACTGTCACAGAGGGCTTCTCACATCCTTCCTTCCCCTTGTCTGCCAGGACTGCCCAGGTTTCCAGTCACTGAGCCCTGGGTTCAAATGCTGCCCACTGTTTGGCTAAATGACTTTACCCTTCTGATTCAGGATTGCTGTGCAGATGAAGTAGAGGTGCATATTTCCTGACACCGCGTGCTCAGTACACCAGATGCCCTTGGAGAACTCATGTATGTCAGCAGAGAACTGTGTTCCATAGAGTTTTCTCCTTGTTGTGTGCCATTCAACTCAGAATCAACCCATAGCTGATCCTCCAACAGGTTTTCAGAGGCTGTAAGTCACATGGGAGGAAATTGTCCATCTTTCTTCCACGGAGTAGCCAGTGGATTCAAAACACCACCCCTTGGGCTATCAGTACAACCCTTGACCACCAGGCTCTCTTCTAGGCTTTTAGTGGCTGATTTTTCAGAAGGAGATCACCAGGCCTTTCTTCCAAGGTGTCACCACGCAGGCTGGAAACCCCTGCTTTTTGGTTGGCGCCTAAGAGTGTTAACCATTTACACCATGTAAAGACTCCCAAAAAGTGTTACTGTTGTGTTCTGTGGAACCTATCCCAAGCCATTATTCACTCAGGTCAAGTCAGTTCCAACTCATAGCAACCCTTCATCAAGTCTCTAAGGCTATAAATCTTAACGAAGGAGACCAGCCATCAGTGGGTTAGAACCACCTTTTGGTTAGCAGTGCAACACCTTATGTACTAGCCCACCAGCACTGTGTGCCATTCCAACTTATAGTGACCCTAAGTGGTAGAGTAGAATGGTTTCCTAGGTTGTAATCTTTACAGGAACAGAGAGTCAGGCCTTTTCTTCCTCAGAACCTTTGGGTGGCTTTGAACTGCTGACCTTTTTGTTAACAGTCAAGCACTTAACCATTATGCCATCAAGTCTCCTCCCAAATAAATAAAACCAAAACCAATCGATTGCGGCCTAATTGAATTCCAACTCGAAGACTCTATAGGACAGAGTGGAACTGTCCCATATGGTGTCCAAGGCTGTAGGCTTTATGGAAGGAGAGTGGTGGAGAACCTAATGGATTTGAACCACTGACATTTCAGTTAGCAGGTAAGTACTTAACCACTGTGCTACTAGAGCTCCTGCTTGCAGCAGAAAAAGCCAAAAACTAAACCCACCATCATTAAATCAGTCCTGACTCATAGTGACTCTCTGTTGGGTTGCTGGGGTTATAAATCTTTATAGGAGGAGACTGCCCATCTTTCTCCCAAAGAGCGGCTGGTCGATTGAACAGGTGACGTTTTATTAGTAGCTGGACACATCATGTACTATGCTGCTAGGAGGGGGAAAGCAATACATACACAAAAAAATTAAAGCAAAATGCTCAAACTCATTGTCAAGTCAGAACCAACTCCTAGCTGTCCTTCCAATGGGTTCCTGAGGCTGCAGATACCCTGGGAGGAAATGGTCACCTTTCCCCCTCTCAGGAGATTTGAACTGCCAGAGAAGCACAGGTTACTGTTGCAACTCCACACAGACTAGGCCATCAGAGAAACCTGCCAGTAAACTAAACAAGTACAACCCTTTACCATCAAGTCAGAACCAACGTATAGCTGACCCTCTAGGGGGTTTTCAGAGACTGTAAATCACACAGGAAGAGATTGTCTGTCTCTCTTCCATGGAGCCATTTCAAACCGTCTGCCTTTGGGTTGGTAGTACAACTCCTTACCCATTAAGCTACCAGGGATCTCCTATCTTAATAAATTGTTGTTGTTGTTGTTGTTGTTATATGCCATTGAGTTGGAACTGACTCACAGCTGATGCCCCAGTAAGTTTTCAGAGGAGGTTAATTGCATGGAAGAAGATTTTCATCTTTCTCCTAAAGAGCAGCTGGTGTATTTGAACCACAAGCCTTAAAAAAGTAGTGAAGCTTTTTACCACTAGATCACCAGAGCTCTCTATCTCAATAGATAGTGGATATTAATAATAATCTCTTTGGTTCTTCTCCTCCTCCAAGAGGCCTTCCTGTATTTACTCTCATCTGGAACATTTAAATCCTCTTGGCATTGTTATTAGTTGTTGATGAATCAGTTCAGACTCTTGGTGACCTCATGAGTTCCAGGCCTATCTTCTGAGGTACTTCTGGCTTGATTCGAACTTCTAACGAGGGTCTCTGGACAGCACAAAGGTTCTGTGCCTACTACCGACTTCTGAAAGCTTTTATTGCTGCTGAGTGGTGGTTCTAACCTATGGAGGAACATGACAAGGAAGATCTGCAATCTATTTCTTTAAAATTTACAATCAAGAAAACCCCTTGACACTTCACCAAAGAAGACATTCAGATGGCTAGCAAACACATAAAGAAATGTTCAAAATCCCTAGCTCTAAGAAAGATGCAAATCAAAACAGCTATGAGATATCGTCTCACCCCAGCCAGAATAGCAAAATTTAACAGATCAGCAAGCAACAAATGCTGGCGAGGTTGTGGAGAAACTGGAACCCTTATTCACTGTTGCTGGGAGTGTAAAATGGTGCAACCACTGTGGAAGGCAATATGGTGCTTTCTCAAAAA